TTCTTTTCTTTCCTTCCTTCCTTCCTTCTTTCTTTCTTCCGGGGCACCTGCCGGGCGGCTGCCATAGAGGCGCGCCGCTAGAGCGGCCGCTCGCCGTGCGCATGCGCAGGGCCCTTCCACCCGGCTTTCCTCCCACGCAGGACGCGCTGAGCCCGAGGTCGGACTCTGTTTCCCGGCATGCTCTAGGAGGCGCTTCCGGCCCGGGACAGAACCTTCCTTCCTTCCTTCTTTCTTTCTTCCGGGGCACCTGCCGGGCGGCTGCCATAGAGGCGCGCCGCTAGAGCGGCCGCTCGCCGTGCGCATGCGCAGGGCCCTTCCACCCGGCTTTCCTCCCACGCAGGACGCGCTGAGCCCGAGGTCGGACTCTGTTTCCCGGCATGCTCTAGGAGGCGCTTCCGGCCCGGGACAGAAAGGCGCCGCGGGGCGCGCTTCCCGTCGGTTTCCGGTGGCCGGAAGAAGCGCCTGGACGTCAGCGGCTACTGAGGAGCCCGGGGAGCGGCGGCGGCGGCGGCGGCGGCCTTGTGGGCCGGGATGGAGGAGAACGACTGGCGCAGCAACAACTTCCGGCAGAAGCTGGTCAGCCAGATGTGAGTCCCGCGCCGGGCCAGGAGCCCCAAGAGGAGGAGGAGGCGGAGGGTTCGGGCCGGGCCGGGCCCAGGCAGGCCCAGGCCGAGTGGACGGCGGCGGCGGCAGAAGAAGAAGGAGAGGGGCAGAAATGGTGAACTTTTTGTCCAGGGAAGCCTGAGGCTCTAGGCTTCCTATTTTGACTCTAAGGAAGGACTGGTTTGGAAAAATGATCCAGTTGATGATATCCAATCCAGTGACTAATTCCCCATTCTGATTGAAGGAAATCTGCTCGCCAGCACTATTGTTAAATGAGACCGTTCTCAGGAAGAGGTAGAGCTACACTGAAACAAATCCATTCCAAGAAGGTCAAAAGGTTGTAGAAAAAGCACATAGTATGCATGTTTTCACCAGCACCAGGAAGATAACCTCCATCCCAACCACCGTCACAACCTGTCCAATATATCCAGTGTGAGAATCGTGGTTTACAAAGTAATTGAAGTGCAAACAGATACAAGAAATGACTGCCAAAAGTGTTGTACTAAAGATATGGCTTTTGAGGGGGGCTTTCCACACTGACCCAACTTCAGGACTTCCCCCCATTTCCTCCGTCTGTTCTGGGTTTACATGTCTGGGGGGGAAGGGGAGGGTGGCGGGGCCCAAAGGCTGCGGGGCGGAAATCCGGCTCCTTATTTTCTGCTTTGCCCGTTGCAGCGAGGAGGCCATGAGGAAGGCCGGCGTGGCCCATAACAAGACCAGCAAAGACATGGAGAGCCACGTCTTCATGAAGGCCAAGTCGCGGGTGAGGGCCTGCTTCCCTCCCTCCCTCTCTCTCTTTCTGGGGGGCCCCTGATTCAGTGGGGGAAGGGCAGGACCCTGACCCTCCCCGTGGGGGTGGGGGTGGGGGTGGGGAGGTGCTGAGGGTTAGGTGCCAAGGTCAGACCGAGGGCCCTTCAAGCCCACCTGCCTGCCTGAGGCTTGGGAGATGACCCTTCTCGCTCCTGTATCCACTACAGGCTCTTTTGCTTTTCTCTTCTTCCCCTTCTTTTCCTTCCTGGCCTTCTGGCTGATGCTGCCTCGTGCAGTGACCTTTTCACCCAGGCCAGGCCCTCCTTCCCTTCCAGGAGCCAGCCTCTCCTTTCCTTTTGCTCCGTTGGGTTGGGGTAGGATGGGCAGGGGAGAGGAACCACCGAGGCCATTGAGCCTTCCTCACTTCACCCTGCCAGCTCTTGAAACGGAGTCTTAATTTTTTTTTTCCTAACTTAGGAGGAGTACCTCTCTCTTGTGGCAAGGCTCATCATCCATTTCCGGGATATTCGTAAGTAAGAGTATTTCTGTGGAGGAGATTTGGTGGGCCGTTTTGGAACCTGGGCCCTTCCTGCCTTGTGGATTGGGTTGCTGAATGCAGAGCCTGCCCGCTTCTGTCATCGTCCTGGCCGCTCAGTTACCAAGTCCGGGTTTTTAGCTCCAGCCAGGGCTCCAGAAATTTGGGGGAAGAAGCGTCTCTTCCCTTCAGTCTTGTGTTGAAAGCCGAGCACCCATTCAAGAGAACAAGCACCTTCATAGCTTTTTATCTACGTTTCCCTTCCCTGACCTGGCCTTATCCCAGTAGAAGCAACGTTTTGTTCACCAAACACTACATTTACAATGCTTTATATTTTATATTTTCTAGATAACAAGAAGTCTATGGCCTCGGCAGGTGGTGAGAACCCTTTCTCCATTCTCTTCCTCCCCTCTCACCCCAATGTTTTAAGAGTATCTCAGGACAGAGCGAACCTCCTGGCTGCTTCCTGCACAGGGGTCATTGGGAAGGAGGGCTTTGTCCTGATCTTGGGCAGAGGGGCTCCGAGTGTGTTTGAGCCCTGGAATGCTGCCTGTATTAAAAACCGGAGGTGGAGAGAAGGGCAAGCAGCCCTCCTGGTCTGGTGGCTGCATGGAGAGAGGTGGTCCAGGGGAGCGTGGCCTCTTTGCTCAGGTTTGCTAAATGGGACTACATGCTTCCAGGTGCTCAGCTGAGCCAGTGCTTCGACTAAGCAGGCAAGGTGTCCTCTGCAGCAGGGCCACTGAGGGGTTTCCTTTCTTCTCTTCCTGGGTCCCGCTTCCCTCCACAGATCCCATGAATGCATTGCAGAACCTGACAGGCGGCCCGCCCGCAGGAGCAGCAGGCATGGGGATGGCGTCTCGCCCACCAGGGGCCCCTCTGGGCCGGATGGCCGGCCTTCCCATGGGGCAGCAGATGAGCCTTCCCGGGCAGCAGCCTCCTGGAACCGCTGGGATGGCCACTCACGGCATCCCTGGCCTCCCTGCAGGCACCCAGCCGAGTGAGTCCTCCGGGAACAGCTGCTTCTTTTGAATCCACCGCTCGGCCCTTCCAGGATCCCTCAAAGTGGAAGGCCGTGCGGGTTCGCCTCCATAGCAGGCATCTCCTCGGAAAGGGCAGCCTGTGGGTGAAACGATTGGCATTCCTCTGCATTCGCCACCTCTCTGGGTGAGACCGTTATAGGGCGCCTTTAATTAGAAAGGGGTCTTTGCGGTCATCTAATTGAGCTTCCTACAAGGTTGGGACATCCTCTACTTACCAAAGCCCAGCATCTGGGAGAGAGTTCCCATTTAATGTTTACTGTTTTTTACATGTAATATTGAACTTGTGGCAATGATCTTTTTTAAGGAGAAAAATGGAGTAAAAAGATTTTAAAAATAAAATAAGAAAATGACCAGAGTCTGCCTTATTTCCAAGATATTTCCCTGGAAAGTTTTTTGCCCTGCAGCCTATGCTGCAAGCGTCAGCCCCCCCCCCCGAGATCCTTTCCCTCTGCTGGACCCTGGTCCCCTTGCCTCGTGGTGGGCTTCCACCCGTGGCTTCTCTGTCAGGTGGTCTCCCTCATGTCTCCCGCAGCCCAGCTGCAGCTCCAGCAGATGGCCCAGCAGCAGCAGCAGCAGTTCCAGCAGCAGCAGTTCCAGCAGGCCCAGCAGAGCGCCCTCCAGCAGCAGTTCCAGGCCCAGCAGCAGCAGCAGCAGCAGCAGCAGGCAGCGGTGGCAGCAGCACAGCAGCAGCAGCAGCAACAGCAGCAGCAGCAGCAAATGCAGGCTGTCCAGCAGCAGCAGCAACAGCAGCACATGCTCAAAATGCAGCTGCATCAACAAAGCCAGCAGCAGGTAACGAAACCAGACTTCCTTGGTTTCTGAAGCAGGGCTTGGAGTGCTGGGTGGGGGTGGGGGGCCTTCTGGGCTGTGCCACCTTCGCTGCCTCAAACCTCCTTCCCCCAGGCTTGCATGGGATGCCCAGGAAGATCACCAAGATCGCTGTAGCCTGGCTGCTCTTGTAAATAGGCCACGGGGATGTCCCTGGCTTTGTTAGTGCAGTCCCAGGAGCTGCCAGCTTGCATTGTGGTGTGGGGCATTGTACTGTGGCACAAAGGGCATGGCCACCAGTTCACACCCATGTTGCGCCACCGAGGAACTTGTCCCCATGGGAAGGAGAGGATGGAAGGCTGGCGACACCTCCGCTCGGGCAGGACAAGTCACCACTTGTTTGCATGTGAACCTGAGGCAGAAGCAGGACGTTTCCACCTCTTCTCCGACAAGGGGAGGGAGCCCATGCTCCCACGGAAAAGGCAGGTGGAGCCGTAGGCGTAGGTGGGATCTGTTGGCAGGAACTGTTATGGGAAGTGGCTTCCTGAGGCAGAGAGATGGATGTCGGCTGACCTGACTCTTCTGGGGCCTGAAACCCACATCCTTTCCGTGACACCCGCTCCCTCTCTCCCCCCCCCAAGGACTCTGCCCTTTTGATTCTTTGGAAGTAGAAGGACCCCTCTGTGGCTTTTGGGTGGCTCCCTTGTCCACGCAAAAGAGATGCTTGTGATGCTGTGATCTCTTCCTGTGTTTAGATGCAGCAGCAGCAGCAGCAACTGCAGCAGCGACTGGCTCAGATGCAGCAGCTCCAGGCCGCTCAGGCTATCCAGGCCCAGGTGCAGGCCCAGGCGCAGCAGCAGCAGCAACAGCAGCAACAGCAGCAGCCCATGCCGCAGCAGCAGGCATCCCAGGCCCAGCAGGTGATGCAGCAGCAGATGCAACAGATGCAGCAGCAGCAGCAACAGCAGGTGGCCGCAGCTCAGCCCCCGCCGCTTCCACCGCAGCCTATGGTGTCCCAGGCCCAGACCCTCTCCGGGCAGCTCCCTAGTCAGGTCATGCCTGTGACACTTACCCCCCAGCAGCTGAAAGCCATGCAGGTAAGTGCTGGACACCAGCCCAGAAAGACCTCCTCTCCCCCCCCCCACTGCCTGCCTCTCTGTCCTCGGCAGGTTGCGGGCAGGGCTGGGCAAAGCTCGCTCTGCCTGGGATGCCAGGGAACTGGGCCAGGCGGTCCCGCTGTGGGAGAGACAGGCCCTTCTCAGAAGGCGGGCCTGCCCTTTTACTGTGCACAGGAGGCTGCTGCTTGCTGAGGGCCTGCCTGCTGCTTCCAGGTTTGGCTGAGATGCATCATCTGCAGCGCTCCTGCCTGGGGAGCATGGGAGGCCGGCAGCCCTTGCTTGAGATGCCTCCGCAGAGCTTGCTCAGACTTGAACGGGCAATGAAAAACGTTTGTTTTCTCTCTGTGTGTTCCCCTAATTCTCTCTCTCTCTCACACACACACACCCGTGTATGTGAGGAGAGGTCTTCTGGGGAGGGGTTGGAAGGACCGTTCCCCCTCTTTTCAAGCAGGAGATACAGCACCAGGTCTGTGTCTGCATCTGGCTGCAGGCCACCCTTAGCAGCACGTTGCAGGCATGTGTTGTGGGTCCGAGTGGCAGGACAGAAACCTTGTAGAACAAGTCAGCTCCTTAAATGGCCTTCGCTCAGCACCTGGTGGTGGAGGTGGTGGTAAAGGTGCCAGGTGGAGGGAGAGCTGTTCAGGGACTTGTGAGTTGTGGCTGGTGCAGAGTACATTCCCTGCAGCCACCTTCTCACCAGGTGGGAATCCTGGCAGCGTTAATATTAAATACTTCCACACCTGGGCTGACGTGGGCAACCTGTTTGTGCTCTGAATCCATTTCTCCATGAAGGAAACACATACTCTGGATCGAAAAGAGGGCTTGCGCCTCCAAATTGCCGGCTGCTTGGTTGCCCTTTGGGGGATGAGCGGGGCGGTGTGGAAAAGCCCCTGGTGAACTTTGACCACTTCAGGGAACTGCCTGGGGCTGGGGCTGCAGAAGGCCAGCCTGGGAGCCTAAGGGCCACAAATGATGTTAAAGGAGGGTTAGGATACACACCCTGTGACACGTCCTGGAGCGTTTGAGGACAGAACGGTCCAGAAAGAAGAGGAAGCCCCTGTTGCTTCAAGGAAATAGAACAAAACCCCACAGCCAGTCAGGTGGGGAGTCGTTCCGGCATTATGCCCCCTCTGGCCAAGTCCACAAGGAAGCAGGCAGATACCCCTTCTGCCTGTAGCCACAAAGAGGTGTCTGTCTGCAGCCTTGGCCAGGGCACAGAAAGTGTGATTTCGTCAGCCTGCAGGTACACAAAACTCAAGTTTTGTTTTGTTACTCAAGGTAAGAGCCTTACAACAACAGCAGCAGCAGCAACAGCAGCAGCAGCAGCAACAACAGCAGCAGCAACAACAACAACAGCAACAACAAGCAGCAGCAGCAGCTCAAGCTCAAGCTCAGATGGGCGCTTCAGGCCAGGTAAGCCCCTTGTCTGACCCGGACAGCCCAGGAGTCTCTACCTGCTGTGGGGCCGGCAGAGGGCCCTGGTGCTGGAGTGGGAGGCCGAGGCGCTCTCTGAAACGGGCCTGGCTTTAGATTCTGCAGTAATGCTGGGCGTGCCTTTGGAAGCGCAAAGCGGCCAGCCGTGGCCGGGAGCCGAGGTGGCTGCTTTCTGCAGGGGGGGGTCACCCTCTGGGTAGCAGCGCGCTCCACTCAGGCCAGCGGGGGCTCTTCCTTGCTGGCGTGCTCCAGGGGCCCGGAGAGACGTAGTGTTTTGCTTTCGCCAGAGTGAAGCCTCTTGAGGGCCAGCCTTGAGGGGCTGGATTTGGGGCCACCCTTCTCTGGTCGTTGGCTGCGTGGTTGCAGGTCCTGTGGGGCCAGAGGTGCTCCTGCCTTCTGGTGGATGATTCCTTAGATGATGAGGCCCTTGGTTTCCTTCCGCCTCCACCTGAGACGCCCCCTCAGGGCCTTGGCCTTGCCATGTAGCACCACCTCTCCTGGTCCTGTTTGGTTTCAGAACCTGAGGAGGGTCTAGTCCTTGAGCAGGAGACCCCCAGGGAGGGCCTGGCATCGCCCAGTGGGGCCAGGAGAGAGTCCTGCCGTGAAACCCCGGATGGAGGGCCGCCATGAGCGGCAGTCTGTAGAGAATGCCCTGGATCAAAAGGCCCCAGAGGGTCTCTCGCTCAGTGCCAAGACAAGGGGCCTCGGGAGCCCACAGTTGCTTCGAAAGGCTGGATCGCGTCTGAGGGTGCAGGCCAGCTTCAGAGCAAGCCTTCCCCTCTCTAGGGCAGAAGAGCTTTGGAGCAGCCCTGTGGAGAGGCCGGGAAAGGGGCTGATGTGTCTGTTGGCTAAGCCTCTCTGGAGCCCGCCTCTTCGTTGCTTGCTGTTTTGGGGGAGGAAAGTCACCCTTTGGGCTGTGGAGGCAGCGAACCCAAGCCTCTTGGGGCTGCAGCCAGCTTCTTGTTCTCCACCTCCTGCCTGGCCACTCAGTGAGAAATCACAAGCAGAAGGCCCTGGCAGGGAGGCTGAGCAGGTGGGCGGTGGGCTTGGGTGGCTGGCCTGGACAGAAAGGGGCGCATCCCAGGAGGAGGATTGGGGCAGCACTGGCCTGCCTTTCTGCCCTGTTGTTTCCTCTCCAAGGGTCCACTTGCCGCCCACCACCCTTTCTGTGGAACCCTCCCCTTGTTCATGTACAGAGCGCTATTTGGACCGATGGGCAGGAACACATTTCCTGGGACATGAAACCTGCCCACAGTGTCATCTTAGGGGCCCCCAAGGAAAGCCTGCCATGCTTGGGGGTGGCGAGAGGCTAAAGGTTCTGAAGATCTGGAAGCCACATAAAAAAGGGGGTGGGGTTATACTGGTTTAGCACCACAGAATGCTTCCTCCATAATCATTTCCAACCTGATTTAATTCAGCAATAAGAAAGCTTTAGGCCGCAGTCACTTCTCTAGGCTGATAAACATTAGTGGCAAATCGCCTGTAATTAGGAAGTATTTCTCATGGTGCACCAGTTGTGCAAGTGAGATGAGCAACGAGGAGCAACAATCCTTGACTCCTTAACACGTGGGCAGGAGGGGTGGCCGGTGAGGTTCACGCCATTAGCGCTTGCACCCGCCTACGCCGGGAATAGCGTTCCAGCCTTGGCTTGTAGAAGCAGAATCATGAATAGGCCCTTTCCTGAGGAGCGGCTGCAGGTCTTCTACCCACTCTGGCCAGCAACGAAGGGCCTGCTCGACTCCCCGGCCTGCCCCTTCCTGAAGGTGGCCTTGGCATCAAGGCCCCTGAGCCTCAAGGCAGAAATGACCCCAAGGGCTTCCCCTCCTTCCGCTTGCAGGTGGGCCCCCCTGCTGCCAGGCGGTGTGCTTTCTGCTCTGTTCCCCCCCCCCGTTCCTCTCTCCCCACCTGCATGTGTCTGGGGGGCTTGGTCTGGCTCATGCCTGGTGGTGCTTTCTGCTCCTCTTGCCCCAGCCTGTGTGCGTCTGCGTGCGTGCATACTCTGATGTTTGTGTTGGCTCTGCTGAGCTCTCTTCAGCCCTGCTGGATTCATCTTCTGTGTCAAAGTCAGTCAAGGCCCTTTAGACCCCTCGGAGACTGGACTTCTTTGGCGTGTGCTTTTGGAGGCTGCAGCTGGCCTCCTCGCAGAAGGAGCTTGCGCTGCGCCAGAAGGTCTGCCAGAGGAAGCAGGAAGCACTTCGGGCTCTTGCTCTGTCCAGCTTTTGACAGGCGAAGGGTCTCCCTCCAGCCAGGCAGGGGGCGTCCCTCCCCAGCCAGAGGTGGGATCTTCCCCCAGAGGGCGGCTGCCGAGCACGGGCCGGCCACTCCCACAAAGGCTGCCTGTGCTTTTCCTCCTCCTCCTGCTCTCCGTCTGCTGCATTTCTTGTGTTGTGATGACTTTTGTCTGTTCCTCTGTTCCCCCCCCCAAGATGACCAGTGCAACGATGGCCCGAGGTGGGATGCAAATAAGACCACGGTTCCCGCCGGCCAGTGCTGTCTCTGCCATGCCTCCTAGCACCATGCCTCTGGGCGGACAGCCCATGCCACAGGTATTTCCTGGAGCTGATGTGCCATCGTGGGGGTGGGGTGAGTGGGTGGGGAGGGTGATGATGCACTTGATGGTTTTTCCACTGCTGTGCTTTGCATGAGTTCAGGTGGCCGTGGGGTGGTGCTTTTTTGCTCTTCCCACAAAGGTGGAGGATGGTGACCCTCCAGGTCTTTGGGTTCGTGTTGGCTTTAGAACAAGCTGGAATTGTTAGCATGTGTACATTAGTGAAACAGCGACATCTACGTTGGCTCAGGCATGTTGTGAGAATGGCTGATGGTCAGATTCCAAACGATCTCCTATATGGAGAATTAGTGCAGGGAAATCGCCCCAGAGGGAGACCCCCCCGCTGCGATACAAGGAGATGTGCAAGCGGGATCTGGAGGCCTTAGGAATGGACCTCAAAAGAAGGGAAGCCCTGACCTCTGAGTGTTCAGCCTGGAGGCAGGCGGTGCAGCATGGCCTCTCCCAATTTGAAGAGTCCCTTGTCCAGCAGGCCGAGGCAAAGAGGAAGTCACAAAAGCAGTACAATCAGGGAGCTGGACAGGGGGCCGACTGGATTTGTCTTCTGTGTGGAAGGGATTGTCACTCTCGAATTGGCCTCCTCAGCCCCACTAGATGCTGTTTCAAGTCCTTAATACAGAGCACGTTACCATAGTCTCTCGAGACTGAAGGATGCCTAATCCGAATCCGAGTCTAGAAACACCCGGGATGGGGCTCACCTTGCCCGATCACCTTGCAAGCGTGGTTTGTTCCATCGAAAGGGGTTTTGGACCCTCTTTTGCACAGCCCCGATGGCTTTGTTTGCCCACTCCTTGAGCCTCAGAAGGGGCCAGGGGTCCCACCATGGGCCAGGGCAGAACAGAGGCTGACGTGACCGAGAGCGGATGAAGCTTTGCGGGGCTTGGGGAGCAGCTGGAATGCCAGCTCGTCTCTTCACGGACTGGGCCTGCCATCGACTTCACAGGCACAAAATGTGCCGCTTTGGTTGAGCAGTCTGGAGTTCTTCATTGAGATGAGTGTGTGTGTGTGTGTGTGTGTGTGTGTGTGTGTGTGTGCTTTTAAAAAAAAAAAAACTAGACATGGGAGATGTGGGGGAGAGACGCAGAATTCCAGGCCATGCAGGTCACACAGAGTTCTCTGGGAAGAAGCAGGCAGGTGGGAGGCTGCCCTTCCTTGCAGGCCGGAAGAGTTGAGCTGTGCCTGTCCTGGGGAGAGGGAGGATGGTCCCTTCGGGGCGCTCTGGTCAGTGACTAGAGCAGACGGGATGGCAGAATCGAGCCGTGTGTCTCGGGCCACCCTGGAGCTAGAAGCCCACCCTTTCAAGCCTCTTCAGAGGATGGCATGTGTCTGGCATGGACACCCCTGCCCCCCCCCCAGGGCAGGCGCAGAAGACCTGGACTTCCACATAGCAAACAGGCCCCAAGGAAGGGAGTTCTTCCCCTCCACTCACTGTGGCCTTTCGGTTGTCTCGGATTTGCTCGGGGAGGCTGACCCTGGGCAGGCCAGCCATCATACATGGCTACTTGCTGGCATGGGGGGGAGCTTTGGGGGTGGCTGCCCCCCCAAATCCTGTTTGTAGGGACGTTTCTCCTGCTGACGGCAGCCCTTCCTTCCCTTCCAGGTGAGCCAAAGCAGCCTCCCGCTGATGTCCTCTCCGTCGCCAGTCCAGCAAGCCCAAAGTTTTGTGGGCTATACAGCAGGATGTGCTGGTGCCAGAGAGTATGAGAGAGCTTCAGGCAATAGAAGACAATAATGGGATTTTCCTGGGCACCACTTGCCATCCCAACTAGGAATGCTTGCTGTGTGCAAGGAGCATGACCAATCGTGCCGTTGGGGGCGGGAAGAGCGGACCCTGTTCCCCTGCCCCGTTCTTGGCCCCCCTTCTTCCCCAGCGGACCCCCTTTGCTCCCTCTTGCAGCTCCGGTCCGGCCCCGTCTCCCAGCAGCTTCCTCCCCAGCCCGTCTCCGCAGCCCTCCCAGAGCCCAGCCGCCGCCCGGACCCCACAGAACTTCAGCGTCCCGTCTCCAGGGCCGCTCAACACCCCAGGTAATCCCCACAGCTCCGGAAGGCGCCCACCCAGACAGCGCCTCCCTGTCCCCAGTTGCAGCCAAACGGGGGGGGGGGTCCTCTTCCTCCATCCCCCCCTCCCCCCCCTCCCGGTAGCAGTTCCTGCCATGCCGTTGGATGACGAATCCTGCCCGTTGTCAGGAGCCCAGTCTCGGGGGTTCTGGCATCCTGGGGCCGCCCTGCCGCCTCACCAGCGAGGACCAGAGGGGGACGGCTTGCCAAGCAGAACATCTGCAGGTTGAAGGAAGGAATCCTTTTGAAACCCTGGGAGCCGTGGCTGCCCATCCAGGCCACCCCCAAGGAGACCAGGGTGGTCCTGGATAGCTCCCCCCCCGTCCCGTTCAACAAAATAAGTTAACAGTGCTTGCTGTGGATGGCTGGTTATCTGAACGTTGCCGTAAGAGAAGGTGGAAGCCCAACGGTGGGGGTTCAAGGAGGCCTCCGCAGATCCTGGGAACAACCCTGGGCTGCCCCCCCCGCACGCATCCCCCCGTTCCCGGGCGTGAACTGTGGCCTCCTTGCTTGCCAGGCAACCCCAACTCCGTCATGAGCCCTGCCAGCTCCAGCCAGTCGGAGGAGCAGCAGTACCTGGAGAAGCTCAAGCAGCTTTCCAAGTACATCGAGCCCCTGCGGAGGATGATCAACAAGATTGACAAGAATGAAGGTACCGGCGGGAGGGGCTCGCCCTCATTTTCGCAGATGGTGGAGAAATGCAAGGATGTGGGTGCAGAGACCCTTGGGTCGGAGGGCCCCCTTTTTGGGCAGCGGGAAATGGGCGGAAGAATTGAGGGGTGGGGGGAGCACTTCTTTTCTGAAGCTGCAGAGGAGCAAGATGGTCTCGGCAGGGGCTCTGCTGTGACATAACTGAGTCGCCCCCACATTTTGTGGCGTTGCCTGTGTTGTGCCTAACAATGCTGGGCCTCGCTCTGCCGTGAGGCACGTGCGTCGTGTAGTGAAAACCCAAGTGGAACGTAAGTTTCTCAAGCCAAGGGCAAAATGCAGAAAGAAGGCCGTCGGGGCCCTGTTTGATGGAGACCGCCCGCCCGCCCTTTCAGAGGCCTCTCTGGCTCTCCCCCCCCCCCCCTTTTAGACAGAAAAAAGGACCTGAGCAAGATGAAGAGCCTCCTGGACATTCTGACGGACCCATCGAAGCGGTGAGCTCTCCGTCTGCTTCCCCCACCTCCCCATTCCTTTGGGAAGCCCTGGGGGCGGTGGGGGGGGGAGGGAGAGAGAGCGCCTGTCGTGTGAGGAGCCGGGAGAGGACTCGGTTCCTTCACGGAGAGCCACCTTTGTGGCCACGTGGTGGGCTTGGCCCTGGTATCCAGCTGGTGGCCAAGGGCCCACTCCGTGGAGCAGGTGGGCTCACACAAACGCACGTTGACACCGGCTGGCCAGATATCCCAACAGAGCTCCCCCCCCCGCATGCCCCAAGAGGGCTGGCTTTCAGAAGGCGCAGTATGTGGGTCTTCCACAGACAGCGCCTGGAGATGGGGGAAAGGGGGGGGGCTGCGCAGGGCTGCGATTAGGAGCCCCGGAGGTGACCTTCTCATGGGTCAGGTTCTCAGTGGCCATCCAGCCCCACACTGACTCCTCCGGCCAGCCATCCTGGGCGTCTTGGCTTGGGGACCCCTCCAGCGGCCAGCTCTGCTTCTGAAATGGGGGGGAGGGAGGGGGGTCCTGTTAAGGTCAGGGCCTTCCTCTGCCCTTTCAGGGTCAGCCTTGGAGCTCCATCCTTCTTCCTCTGGGGTGGGTGAAGGTGGGCCAGAGGCCCGTAACGCCCGCCTTCCTTCCATCTTTCCTCCCCAGCTGTCCTCTGAAAACCCTGCAGAAATGTGAAATCGCTCTGGAGAAACTCAAGAACGACATGGCTGTGGTAAGCTGGGTGGTGTCTCTGTGGGCACGCACGCACGCTCAGGCAGCTTAATGTTCTTCTGCCGCTCTCCCTGTTCCTCCTGCCACGAGCCCTTCTGGGCTTCAGCCCCATGGCTGCCCCAGAAGGCGGGTTCTTTTCCCAGAGGCCGAGCCCTGTTGGCCCAACAAGGGCAGCCGAAGGAAAAAGAAGATCTGGTGGCTGGGCGGAAAAGTCAAAAATTAAATAAATAAAATAAATAAAATAAAATAAAATAATAAATAAAATAAATAAAAGGCAGCAGGATTGGGGTGGGGGGGCAGAGGCCTAGAAGGACCCCCCCCCTTAGGTGTGGGTGAGAGGAAGCGGGCATGGGCACCGTGGGTGGCTGGCTGGCTCCACAGGGCAGTTGAAGGGGGCCAGCCACTGTGCAGGGGCCCAGGCGCACCCAAGGGAGGGGGAGAGGGAGGAGAGGCAGATCTTGCTCCGTGTTCTGGCTGAGATGGGGCAGGGCTCCCTGGGTGCTGCTTGGACGCAGGGATGGAGCTGCAGCGGAGTTGGCGTTGCGGGAGGACAGCTGACCCAGCAGAAGGCCTGAAAGCTCACCCTCTCCCCCGCTTCCCTCCTCCTTCCCCCCCACGCCATGCTTTCTGCCCTTTTAGCCCACCCCCCCACCACCCACAGTCCCTCCCACCAAGCAGCAGTATTTGTGCCAGCCCCTCCTGGATGCCGTCCTGGCAAACATCCGCTCGCCCGTCTTCAACCATTCCCTCTACCGGACCTTCATGCCGGCCATGACTGCCATCCACGGCCCTCCCATCCGGTAAGTGTGGCTGCCAGGAGTTGGTCCCTCACTGGAAGCCAGACAGGGCAGCAGCGGCTTCCAGCCTTCGGGGAGACCTGGGGGTGGTGGTGGGTGGGTGGCAGGATTTCTTCCTTCC